GCTACTCTGCTTATTTGCAAAGCTTTTCCAATGCTGTTTTTTTATTATTATTATTTTAAAAAGAGAGAGAGAGAGATGCAGGGCATTAGTAATATGCTAGAATTTGCTGGAAGACTTGATAGCAGAGCATTTTACCCTGTTTTTTTCTTTTTCCACAGCAATTTCATAGCTCTCTGTTTGTTGTTCAGGCTTTTTTTGCAGCTAAATTGTATTGGATCCTGGCTCTGCATTCTCAGAGTGGCTTTTCCTTTTAGGGTGTTGTATTTCTCTTCCTGATCCCGCCTGTGTCAGAACCAGGCCAAGCGCCATAGCGGCCTGCTCCCCTTTGTCTCTGTAGACGAAAGATATCATATGAGTTTCCACACACAATGGAGAGAGAGAGAGAGAGAGATGCGAGCCAGACATGACGCAGCACAAATGGAAGTGCTGAACCAGGCCGCCCCTGCCTCCCCCCTCCCCAGCCAGCCCTCGTTTGCTGGAAAATACTTAACGAAGCATTGGTTGACAGTGTGTGTGTGTGGGGGGTGACCAATGAATTCAGTCTGAACCCAAGCCATAAGCAAGTGAATACGTATTGGGGTGCTTCTCTCTCTGTCACGGCTTGTTTGAAGCCCCTTTCTGCAAACGACACCTCCTGGTTTGCTCCTCAGTCTCCAGAGAACGGATCGGTCCTTGGGTTCCTCTGACGGCAGGGTCAAGGGAAAGCGAGCGCTCCCTGGGTGCTCGCTCAGAAAAAGGATGCTGACAGGTAGATCTGCGGAGGAGCGGCCGAACAGCTCCCGACGAATGTGTTCTCCTGCCGTTGGCACTGAGCGGACTTCCCTTGCCCCACAGGGCCACAATTTGGAGGGGGGGCCAGAGGAGCAAAAGAGGGGTGCTGGCACAACCAAGGGGAAGAGTGCAGGATCTAGCCCGTCCTTCCTCTCCATCGCCATCTTCTAATCTCCTCCATCGCTCACTCTGCTGTACTGTAGTCACAGAGTGGTCGTTCTTTGCTGGCTTGTGTGTGTGTGTGTGTGTTGTTTGGGGGGGGAGCTTTTCGAAAGCCATTAAGTAAATTGCAGATTAAAAGAACAGCCCTGTGCTGGCTTACCTTGGAGTAAGTCCCACGAAATCCTCTCGGACCTGATTTCGAGCACATGGGGTGATAACACGGTCAGGCTACAATCCTAAACTGACTTGTTTGGGAGCAAAAACCACTGGACTCAGCCAGATTTTCCTAGAAACCTAGGACGCTGCTTTCCATCAGGTTACACCATCCTTTCTGCCCCTGGCAGAGACACACCTTCCCCATCAATTGTTATATAAACAGGCAAAAAACAACAACAACAACAACAATACAACAATAACCCAGCACTGTGATTGCTTTTAATAAACCACGTTGCACTGTCTTCATATAGGTTAGATCTGGGTCGTTAATCCCTAGGTTCATTCAGACTGGGGAACATTGCTCGTTCAGAAAGCAGCATGCAGTCTTCTTCCAGCAGGACAGAGCTTTCGGCCAGATCATCTGGGTTACATTTCCCATCATCCTCAGCCCCCAGGGCAGTTGATGGCGAGATGGCTGTGGGGATGATGGGAACGGGATGCCTCCAATAAATCCGGAAAGCACCAGGTTTGTTTGGCAAAGGCTTTTTTTTTTTTTTTTGGACTAACTTGCTGGGATATGTAGTCTAGGAAACAGACCCTTTCTTAGCTCCATCTTTGTTGAAACATCTGGTGAGAAGCCACGGTCGCTGGACCGTTGTGTTTGTGCAGTCGCTGTTGCTGCCAGGGTGACATTTGGGCCCTGTGGGTGTTCTGCTGTCTGTCGTCCAGATTTCCAACGTGTCCAGAGTTGAGCAACCCTTGTCAAAGGTCTGGAAATTTGTTTGTCAAGATAAGAACCTTCTCCAGGAATTCAAGCCAGCTGTGTTGTTGCTGTGGGCTGAAAATAAGATGTACAGGGGCTACCGTGGGTTGTGTTTTTAGGACGGACTGGGAACCAATGTGTTCCATTTTATTTGGATTACCAACCTGTTAGAGCTGTGCTTCTCGGTTGGTAGGAGGCCTCCCACCACCACCATGATAATAGGTTTTAGAAACAATCTTAGTTTGGCCATATATTTAAGTGAAATCCAGAGGTGGGAGTTAGACAAGACTGTCAACTTCCCAGCCTATCCTAAGAAGTGAAAAACATTTGCACAAGTTTTCCTTACCCACCCCCCCTTACACAGGTTTTATTTGCAAGTTTGCTTTCACAAGCAGAGTGCTTTGAAGGAATTACCTCTCTGGAGGGAAAACCTGGTCCTAGCGTCTAAGGACAAAGGTGGAATCTCGTAAAGTTGATCTTGCGTAGTTCAGCTGTTCCGTCCTGTCCCAGTTGCATAGGTGTGGCAAATCAGCCGGGATTTTTGGTAGAGGTTCGTCCAGCCTAATCTTTCCTTTTCCTTTTCCCTCCTCGGCTCCTTTTCCTTTCATGTTGTGGCTTTTGAGATCAGGACAGGGCAACTGCGTCTCTGCAGATCTTTTGGGACAGCAGATAGATATATAAGCCTTCTTGGGACCTTCCCAGCTGAAGGGTGGGATATAAATGGGGTAAATGTATAATACCTTAAGATGGGGGAGTTGGGTCTGAATTGGTTATTTCTTATATGCAGAGCATGTTTCCAACCATTCTTTCTCTTTCAAGAGGAAAGCAATAGCCTCTGTACGCACATTTAGTTTAAATTTTAAAAATTTTCTGGCTTATTCAGACTTTTAGAGTTGCTGTAATTAGGATGTCTGATACTGTCCACTGTGGGTTTTTGTGTGTACCAGTTTACAACAATAGGCACAATAACACTAGGACAAGTCGAAGGCAGCCAGAAAAGAGGAAGAACAAATATGAGATGGGCTCATTCAGTAAAGGAAATCCCAGATTTTCTTTCTTTCTTTTTCTTTTTTACTTCCTTTCATTTATGCTCCACTTTTCCCCTCAAGAGAACCTGGAGCAGCTTACAATATTCAAACAAACAATTAAAAATAAATAAAAATGTACGTTGCTACAATATTTTAAAAGAATTAAACAAATACTAGATTAAAAGCAAGTGGATTTAAAGGCCTCGAGGTTGTCGGAGCATAGCAAGGTGGCTGTTACTAACAGAACTTATCGGAGGTCATGATTCTGGGGGATTTGCCATCGCAGCTTAATGGTACATTAAAGCCACGAGGCGATAACACCTTTCCGTATCTGCCTTGGCTCAGTAGTGGAAGGGTTGACAGGAGCAAAGGAAAGGCCGACCGCAGCATCCCTCTGTGGGCCACGGGAGGAGGCGGTTGCCATGGAAATGCCTCTTTGGTTGGACCAGGGCATCTCAGGAAGGAGGGAGCCTGGCTTTCTCATCCCCCGCCGCCGCGTGCAACCCAGCGATTGGTAGAGGGCCAGCTGTGATTTTTTCCTGCGAGGCGTGGCGCAGGCCCACTACCCATTTCGTTCTTCTTTTCCATATTCAGCTCGCTTTATTAGGGGAGCTAACGGATGGTCCCCAGACGTCAGGAGGGGCTGTGACCCTGCGTCCCTGTTTAGGGTTTTCTGTCGTCGTTTAGGCAGCGTGATTTTACTCTGCCGGCTGCTGGCCATCTTGAAATGGGGACTTCCCCTGCTGGTTTTCAGAAAACCGGCCCCGATCCTTTTATGGGGCGGTTGGAAATTGCACCCTGCCTTTCAGTAAAATTCACCAGAAGGTTAACTTGGGATGGCCATGGGGCCGGGGAAGCTGTCGTTGAGCCAATCGCTCAGCCTAAATAACGAAAAAGCCTGACTTACCCATATATATACCTGGGTGTGGCCCTTTTACAGTTGGCATTTGCAGGATGGTGCTAACCCTGTAACTTCTGCTGGGGGGTGGGGGGTTGGAGGTGTGAGAGATGCAGTTTATAGCGCATCTCTTGCCTGCTGCCAAGGGTGTTCGGCTCTGCAAGTCATGGGGAACGACGTTGATTTGGCCTCCAAACTCCCTTCCGTTGCACCTGGAAAAAACTGAGGGCCAGCCGTTCCCTACCTGTGATAGCAAGAATATATCATAATGATGATTAGAAAGCAAAAGTGTGCTGCTTATATAGTGCTTAAAGCTCTCTCTGGCCGTTTCCAGTTATGCAGGCTACGCATTCCTCCCGCCCCACGCAAACTGGGCGCCGGTTGACCAACCTTGGAAGGGTGAGGGAACTTCAAGGCAGCTACCTGAGCCCGCCAGGGTCCTGAGCAGAGTCTTGACTGCCGTCGAGCCATTGTGCCACGAGGCTCTTTATGCGCGGTGAAGTCAATTCTGGTTTTATGGTGACTCTCTTTCAGGGTTTTCTGGGTAAAGAGTACTCAGAGGTGGTTGACTGTTCTCTCCTCCAGGACGGGGCAGCTTGCTCAAAGCGACACAAGCTTGACGGTTCTCCCAGGGAGGGACACTGGGGGGGATTCAGCTCCCAGCCTGACTCACTCAGCCAGCAAGAAAAAAGCCCTCAGAAAGGCTGGCTGGGGGATTCTGGGCCCAGTATTCCTCTATAAGTAACTTTTCCCAGCCTCTGCCCAACGGTGCGCCTGCATGGAGGGTACGTGAGTGCTGGAGCTGCAGATTTCCTTTGTACATTTGGCTCCCTTCGGGATCATTTTCCTTTTCTGTCGCCGAGACAATCATGGCTGCTATAAATACTACAGTATCCTGGGGAGGTGGCCGTCCTTTTCCCAGCCGGCGCTCCGGACTGCCGGCCCCTTCTGCTTCCTCCTAGATTCTGGATGCTTTTGGGCTCCAAGGACTCTTTGCTTTCGTTTTTCTTTCGTCGGCCCACGCCAGCGGGCACGGTGACTTGTTTATTAAGAGGGCTTTTGCTGGTGGCATGGGATGCTTTATTGGGGGTGGGGGGGACCTGAAGATAATTTTCTTTGATGGAAGTCCTTTCATTGATACCCCCATCCCTTCCCATCGTCCTCCAGTATGTGGGCAGCCAGGAGAAAGGAGAAGCTGACCAGTGTCTTTCTCGCCCCGCAGGAGTCAGAACCGGATAGCAAGCTGGATGGCGAAACCGCTTCCGACAGCGAGTGCAAGTCGGAGGTGGCACCAGCCGCTCCGGTGGATGACACCCCAGAGGTCCTCAACCGGGCGCTGTCCAACCTGTCTTCCAGGTAAGGCAGGCGTCCGTCAGAAGACTTGTGAGCGTTTTGTCCAGTCCCCGCCTGTTGGTGAACTACGAAGCTAATCTATACTCCTTCTCTGCTGTCCTTCTCTGGTATCACACGTCCCTGAGGCAGTTTGCCAGAGATCTGAATCTTCAGTAAGGGTAGCGAGGCAATAAGCAAGACAGCCATATGGGCCAAGTAGGTTACCCTGTTATCTTTTCTAGATCTATGTTTAGACTGCTGCTCTTTGGACTCACTTGTTTCCTCCTCTTCCTCTGAGATCACTTCCTCATCCTGCTTCTCAGCTAGACAGAGGCAGATATGGGCTGCCAACAGACCTACACACATACAAGCTGGCTGTAGAGGTTTCTCCGTAGAAACTTAGCGCTTTTTCCTCCTGCAACATCCATAAATTAGTCTCCTGAACTACATAAACCAGAACGTTTTCCTTTTTACGTTCTGTGTGGGTACCTTCTGCATAATAGCCATAAGCTGTACCCTGCGTTCCTCTGCACGTAGAACGACAGAGCAATCCGCACGGGTGTTGGGGCTGCAGCTGGTAACCCCCCACTCCTTTTTTAAATGCATTGCTGCTTTCCGCGCCCTTGATTTGATAAATATTGCAATTTTGGTCCTAATCCAGCCACATCTGCCACCGCTGAGTGCTGGGAGGGAGGATAGACGGGGAACCATCTGCAAAGAAAAAGCTGGGGAGCGCTTTTGGGGGGGGCAAGGCTGGCCTACTTTGGAAGGTTGGGTGGAGGTGGTTTCTTATGAAACAATAAGGACTGAGTAATGTTTCTCAGTTGACCCCAAAGCTAATTAAGCTGAACATCTGCTGCCTTTCGTTTTTTCTGGGTTAGCGACCTGGGAATGATCTTTAGGTCTTCCTCTGCAAGACACGGGTTTTAATTTATATATTTTTTCATCTCCTGCTTTGTCAGCCCAGGTGGCAGCTTTTTCCAAAGGGGGACAGACACGTCTCGGCTTCTCTGGCTCTTCACTCCTCGTGGAGCGCTGAGGAGCGCCTGTGTCCTCTTTGAGCCCCTTGGGCATATGAGCTGTTCCTTTTCACGAGGCAGCGGGTGCTAGAAATAGCAGTCACGGCTCATCCTTGCAAAAAGGGTGGCGAACGAGAGAAAGCAAAGAGCAAGCCGATCTTCTCGTGGGAAGGAAAGGACTGTTGAAACATAAAATCACATGAAGGAGCTTCTGCTCTTCGTAAATGTAGAAAGTCCCAGTGGAAGAGTCGGGGCCAGAAAATGGAGACATTTGGGCTTTGGGTCCTGCAGGATCCATCCCTGCGTCCAGCTCACATCTCTCCCAAACCCAAAGAGATTGATCCTGTGTCTTTGCAGAACTGTGGCCAAACTCCTGTGCTTTTTTTTTTTTATGCTGGTGTAAAGCAATTGGCATAAATCTCAGTGGCAATTGAGATTTTGGCTTCTTCTCTCGGGACAGCTTGCCAATAAGATTTGGGCGGATTGCATTACGCTAGTGAGTAGCACTAGTAAGATTTCCCCCCCATATCTCTCCTCAACTAACAGGTGAAGGATCATTTCCTCTATTCTCTTGGAGGTGAGGGTGTAGCAGATCCTTCAAGTGGCTTTCCCCCTTCCCTAACTAAATAAAAGGCCATTTTCTTGCTGTTTTGCCTGGAGAGGCAGTGATGGGCAGAGGAGCCCCCCCAAAAAAAAAACCCCGCCTGGGTGAATTTGTTTTGACGTTCAGCTTCCTTTCCATCTTTTGATGTGGAGTCTCCTCTGATGCAGGTGGAAGAACTGGTGGGTCCGAGGCATCCTGACACTGGCGATGATTGTCTTTTTCTTCATCATCATCTACTTGGGACCCCTGGTGTTGATGATGATTGTAAGTGCTTCTGTGCATCCTCTCACTTTCTCTTTCTCTCTGTCTCTGGAGAAAATGTCCCAGTTGACAGACGCCGTTGTAATATCCTCCCCTTGCTACCTAGCCATTGGTCAGTCTCAGCAAATCAGGAGCTGCCCTTTTGCAAAGTTAACGGCTCTCAATTGCCCATTCAAGACTCATCTGCCCTCAGATACATTACAATAGGAACCCCTATATCTGTGGGGGACCTGTATCCGCGTTTTCACTTTCTCATGGTTTTACTGCAGCCCTCTATGTAACGCTCAGTGCCGAGTTGGTTAGAAATGGCATGAAAGGAATTCCGCTCCCTTGCAGGTGATGTGCGTGCAGATTAAGTGTTTCCACGAGATCATCACCATCGGCTACAACGTTTACCACTCCTATGACCTGCCCTGGTTCAGAACGCTCAGCTGGTAAGTGGACCGAGTTTTGTCCTCTTTGAAGAGCTGGGGGGGGGGCAGAAGGAGTCTGTAGGTTGCCTTCTTTGACTGGAAGACCTCTCTGGAGAGCAGATTGCACTGGCAACAGGATTGTTTCCTCCACAATAGTCGAGGTGTGTTTGGGCTACCCAGTCACAGCTGTTTAGTAGGGACAGGGTGTATGTTTTTTTTTCCTGGACTGCAGATGCCATAATTCTCCGACCTGAGAGGCACCTTATGAAACACCTGTACGTGATGCACTTGGGCCAAAGGCCTGAATCAAGAGGCTTTGAAGCTTAGCTAGGACACGGTCTGCCCAAGCTTACCTTGAGGCCAATAAGGAGAAACATGACGAGGACAGGAAGTTTGGGTGGAGCTTGGCCTCGCTAAGCCTTCTTTTAGGTCTTCCTCCCAGGTGTATCACAGGTAAATATTTTGTAAAGTTTCTGCTCGGTAGCTAGAGTTCTCAGAATGGAGAATTAGGGTCCTTGTAATCTGGAGAATCCAAAAATTCTATTCTTACTGTTGAGCTACCTCCCTACTTCTTTCTCTGCCGTATTCGATTGTGTCTCTGAGGTGGAGCTACCTGTACTTTTTGCAAAGCTTATAGCAAGATTCCAGGTCTCCTCCGGTGGGGCCTGCATTCTTGGTCCTGCCAGGAGAGCAAGCGCTGCCCTTTAATCTAGCTTTAAGGCCTGTGCTCCATACTCTGTCACAGCTTTCCCTGATGCTTTCCAAACGTGGCAAATTCTAGTTCTCCTTCGTCCGGTCAAAAACATCTGGCCCTGATTCAGTAACAGCACCGCTTGGCCATTTTACGGCATCTGAAAGTATGGACCGAGGCTGCTTCATAGACCTGTGCCTATTGATTACTCCTTGGCTGCTTCTAGGATTTCAAGACCTGTTTTAAAAAAAAAAGAAGAGGTTGGCATGCCTTTGGTAAAATACCTGAGGAGCCTCTGTGCGATGCGGGGCTTTCTGCTTCCAGGTACTTCCTGCTCTGCGTGAACTACTTCTTCTACGGGGAGACCGTGACCGATTATTTTTTCACGCTGGTCCAGAGGGAGGAGCCCTTGAGGATTCTCAGCAAATACCACCGCTTCATTTCCTTCGCCCTCTATTTAACAGGTGCGTGGGAAGTCCTGGACTCTCCCTCTTCGTGGCTTCTGGGGCCAGGAGTGGATTCCTTGAGGTTTGACCAGAGGGTGGTCATTTGCTCGTCCGATATCAAAAGCCGGAACAAACCTGTCTCTGCAAGAGCCTCTTTCTCTTGGTGGGCTTCCTCGCTGGGATTCCTTGACAGCAGCTGGAGTCAGTGTGATCCCACTTAGGGTCCCTTCCAGCTCTGGAGTTCTCAGATTATAATGCCCTGCTGGATAGCTGAGTGGTTTAAGGCACCTGGTTGCAGAGCCAGAGGTTGGGAGTTTGATTCCACACACACACACCAAGGGCCTCCTTGACACGGACTGGACACGACGACAATCCAGAGGGTCCCTTCTAGCTGCGGTTCTAAGATTTGGTTAGAAAGGGCTCTGAAAGCCATCCCGGTGTCTCACCTTCAT